TTTAATTAATTTATAAAATTTAATATATTTATATTAAGAAATTATAACTATTCTTTCTTTATGTAATAGCTCGTCAAATCATTGCTAAGTAAAAATCTACCTTGAATTAAAGTGTATGTCATTTTAATTTCGTATGATGGTGCCAGACATACTGTGGCGTTTTATAAATCAAGCGTATATTCCTATAATTAAAAAATTGTTTAAACATAATTACTTACTCAATATTACACAATTAACTTATGGATATAAGAAATAATTGGACCGGCTATAATTTGTGTGGCGCGTTAAACAAACGTAAGGAGAGAATACACTATATTACTAACACAAAAAATGGGCAAAATTTAATATTGTACTAACGATAAGTGCAAAGTGTTAAAAATTATCAAAGCAGATAGATTGCAAATTAAACTAGAATATATATATTAAAAAGATTATATATATAAAATCTATAGAATGGGGAATACATATTATTTCCCCAACATCATATATTATAGGGACATAAATTTACAAATAAAAATTAGTTATTTAATTTACTACAGCATTTTATAATCTAATTTTCTAAGTTTCCGCTGATATAATTTTATTATGAACAGAAAAACGCTGTTTTACTATTTTTTTTTTTCAATTCTATTTGTACTGTAATTTTATAACTGTTATTTTCATGCCCAAAACGATACAACATGTAGGCATTTTGTCATATAAAATGTACTACGATAATTTACTATACTTACATGAGACTCCAAACTGTTCCAAAGCATATTGTGTTTTACTCAATACATTGAGAGCTGAATCAGTGCGTGACCGATCACAGATTTGTTATCTCTTTTTAACTACATTTCCTCTCCTTTCTATGCTTAATAGACATTTTACAGCTGGTCCAGTAATTTTCTTACGTCCATGAATCTATTTATACAAACTTTTCATGTATATATTTACTGATGTATTCTTAACTTATCTCCTAATTTTAACTGCTCATATTATTTTGTACATTGTTATTTCGAAAACTTCTAATTTTTATAACCTGAGTCATCCATAAGATACAACTGCATTTGCATGGCTAATGCTCAAAGACTTTAACGAATTTTTTCACAGTAATATGTTCATTAATATAATTCTTTAACTGATATATATTAGATTCTAATTTTTTGTATATAAATAAACAGATAATCTTTTTTATTGTTAACAAATTAGATTTTTTTGAATTATTATTTGCACGTAATCTCCTTCTTCTAAATATGCTGAAATAAATCAATTTAAACACTGCACTTTATTTAATTAATTTCTAGAGCTTTCCAAGCTACTGACATTTGTTTAGTTATCCTCCTCTCTTGCTCTATTTTTTTATATTACACTAGGCAGTTGTTTAATTAGCTTTTAGCGTCTAAAAACTGCATGAATCAAAATGGAATAAATATTAAAAGGACAAAGGCAATCAAAGAATCAATCAGATATGATCAGCGATCATCGTTACATGTTCGGATAAATAGCATAATACGGGTTCTTGAACTGTTTCGAATTGTATACACTCGGATCCTCTACAGAGAACGGTTGAATCACGTTGGCGGGCACGGTTTTCTGATTGTGCACATTCGCCATCATGTATTGTGGCGTGGATACGACCTGACCTACCGTCGCCTCCTCCACCAATTTTCTCTGAGAGTAGATCAGTAATTGGGGCATAGACGTGTCGTTCTGTTGCGGCGTGTTGTCCGCCGCAGAGACCGCGAACGTGGCTGTCGTTGAGCCGGATAACTGCTGCGCTTTGCACTTCTTCGTGTGGGCGTACAATGATCCGGCATTGTTGTAGCTTTTGGTGCAAAGTTTGCACACGTACGGTCGCTGACCGGTATGCGTGTACGTGTGCTCATTCAGCGAGGTCAATCGTCGGAAAGACTTGGCGCAGACATTGCAATGATACTTGGCCTCACCGGTATGCATGGTGATGTGTCGCGCCAGGGTGTTGGCTCGGGCGAACGCTCTGCTACAGTATTGGCAGATGTACGGTTTCTCACCGCTGTGGGTTCTCAAATGCAGTTGTAAATATGTGCTCTTGGTGAAAGCGCGGCTGCATGTGTTGCACACGTACGGCTTGATGCCGGTGTGTGTCCGCATATGCGCCACTAGTGAACCGCTCTGGGCAAAGCACTTGCTGCACTTCTCGCAAAGAAATCGCTTCTGCGTGTCCTTCACCCGTTTATGCCTCTCCACATGGTTCGCCAGAGATTGAGCTTGCGCGAAGGCTTTCGGACAGAGCGCACATTTGTGCGGCCTATTGTGTCGGTCCTGAAACAAGATGTAGCAGTCTTGTTAAAATTATTTTTATTAGAGATGTATATATGTATGTATGTATGTTCTTCGAGAAACAAATAAAGAGAGAAAAATAATAACATAATTTTTGTTACTCCATTAATACTTTCAAATAAACAAAATAACTATACAACATTCATAAATAATATTATAAAGACAAACATGCCTTCTTCCGACTCTCGGAATTTTCATTGACTTTGTTCTCATTATCCTCATCGTCATCATCCTCGTCGTCAGTGTTGCCGAATATTTCCTCCTTATGCTTTGATTGTTCGTGATCTTTCAGCTTGTCAACCCTTGAGAATCCTTTCCCGCAGGTCGAGCAGTTGAATTTCAAGCCACTATGCGTCGAGATGTGCCTTTTCAGGTTCCTCTTTGTAGCGAAAAGCTTACCGCACTGCGTGCATTGTAGACTTTCGATCGGCAAATCACTGTCGTCATCGTCCTCTTCTTCCTCCTCTTCTTCGGATTCATTTTCTCTGAACGTAGGTGTTCTCTCTTTCTGCTCATTCGTTGTCTTATTTGCGTATTGATCGACTCCGCCACCCGAAATCTCCTCATTGTATTCGGGATGACTTTTGGCATGAGATAAAAAGGACTTTTGATATATGAATTGCTTTGAGCAAACCTTGCATGTAAACTTAAAATTTTTTTTCTCCTCTCTCGTGCCGTCCAACACGTTGCCGCTTCTAGTAACTTTTGCCGATGTTTTAACTTTTTTATCTTCGTTAGTTTCTTGTGACGTTTTACCATCCGTCGTATGATTGTTAAGCACGTGACTCTTCAACTTAGCAATGCTCGAGAATTGCTTATCACATACATAACACACATAACGCAGTTTCGTCTTATGTTTATGTTTGTGTTTGTGTACGATCATATGTCGCTGTAACGCCCCTTTTGTCGAAAACGATCTCATGCAAATTATACATCTGTGATGACATCTGATTGTCCTACTTATCAGTGGCTTCTCCTCATCGTCACTGCAGTTCATAACGTTTTTCATATCTTGGTTGTCTGTTTCTAATATTGCAGTCTGCTTTGAAACATCGTGATCATTGAAATCCTCGAACGACATATCATTCTTAACTTCGATCTTTAATGTATCTTTTCTATTTTCGTCCGTTAAACTTTCTGGTGTCTCGTTATCCTCATGTAATATTAATTGTTCCTGCTTGATGCATCTATCATCCATTGTCGAACTACACAATCGATTTGATTGATTGTTGAGCATATTATCCATGTGTGCCTCGTGACATAAGGCTACTTCTACTATTTCAGTGCTATGCATATTCTGTTTGAGCACAATGTATTGCGCATCTTTTCCATTTGGTTCTGTAATTTCCTCCGTCTTTTGTATAAACTCGTTATGTATACAAGATTCGTTGTTAATTATCTCATCAGACTGAATAGTGGTATTATCTAATGTAACAATATCATGGTGTGAATAGATTTTCTGCTCCATGACACGATTATCTTTTTCACAGGAGTCTACATTGGATAAATTCGTAATTATATGTTTCATCATTGTTTTAACATCCTTTGCATGCTTGTCATCCAGCATAGATTGAACCTGTGACTTCAGGATCTGACGTAGCTTCACATCGGAATCTTGAATCTGGCATTTAAAGTCGTAGGACATATCGAGCAAACGGTTGCAAGATAAACAAATAGAAGCTGGAAGACCATCTCCCTCCTCCACCTACAGATTGTAAAAACTTCTAGTTAGTTTAAAAATATCTTGTGTTATTATTTTAGAAAAAATAATATTTTAAATAACAAAATCAGCATTGATCAGGAACAACAATATTCGTCTGTATTCGAAATAATGTGTCGGAAATAGTTGGAAAACAACGATAACATGAAGGTAAGCGTTCAAGATCATGACATAGATTTCGGAGCCACACAGTGACGATTCGAAATAAAATAAACGAGAACTAACCTGCACGGCGGCGATTGCCATCATCTTCTCCGGTATTCCGTTATGGAACACCTGACACGAGTCCATGCAGGACTTGAGACAGATACGGCACTCGTCGCCCACGATTCGCTCCGCGTGAGCCATGTTATTCATCATCATGTCATCGTTCGAAACTGCCATTGAGAGATGATTGGAGAGGTAATTTACAATCTACTCCGCGAAAAACACAATGCAACCAGTCGCTACTCACTACGTACTACGTGCCACTGCCACTACGCGGCCACCATTTGCTCCGACGCGATCGACCTCGGGTTCGATAGATCGAAAAGGCACGGACGCTGCCTAAAGAGATCTTAAAAATTTCCGCGGAAAATAAAGAGGAAAGAGATCCAGCAAAGTTATGATTTTCAATTCCATTTTTAAAGCAACAGGAAAAGGAATTATCCATTGAAAATTATCGCATTTTTATAGTTATAAATCAAACGTACAAATATATACTTTATGTATCCCAATTATTTTTATTTTAAATATAAATACGAAGACGAAAAAAAAGAAATTCCTATTTTTTTATCTATTTCAATATACTTAATCCTCTTAATCTTTCAAAATTAAATCTGTAGATATCTGAAAAAAATAAATTTACATTTATAGATTACATTATATCCACACATAAAAGAAGATAATACATAATATGACAATGTAACAAATCAAACTTTAATTTGTGATCATTTAAATCATTAAAATAAAAATCTATTGTAATAAATATTAAAACTAGAAAATAATGCTATTAATGTACCAGATAAGCTTTGCATTCATTATTTGTCTCACGTTTTTATCGTGTATTTTTACTTTAGAAAAATTCATTCCATATATCATGGTAGGCTAATAACACAACATTATGTTTTATCTTTATTGAGATATTTATATATACACATAAATTTTATTTATTCGTACATTACAGCTGTGTCTTACAAAGTATCATAAGATAATATTTTTATACAGAGTACCCTGCAATTGTTGTTGCAATCGAGCAGGGGTAATGATTTTACATGAAAAATAAATTGAAATTGTAAAATGTAACGTTTTTATGCAAAGCTTAGTTTCTAAGAAAATCGATTTTGCAAGATGGGAAATTAATGATGCTTTCTCTCTTTATTAAACTTGGATAAATTTGAATAATCCTTTGTACTCGATCATTGAATTCATTTCAGTAATCCATTAGAATATGAATAAAAAACAATAAAAAATTTTAATTAGGAAAATAAAGACATAAGAGTTTAATATTTTTTACATATAATTTTCAGAAACTTAAATTACTTTCAATTCTTTTCAACGAGATGTTACCCCAGTTATACACAGGACCCTGTATATATATTTATATACATAATAATTTTCTCATCCTATGCTAAGTAATTGTACAACATCAGTCTTTAACGAAACGCTCGCTTCTCGTGAATACACGAAACTTTCTCTCGTTTTTTCTCTCTCTCTCTTTTTCTCATTCTCTTTGCATTTTTATCGTCTCTCATCTCCAACTTCGTTAGAAAAATTCATCGTTTAATTCCAATAATGACTCTTTATCTAATATCTGTACACACTTTACAACTTGGCATCTGATTCTATTTCTTTATAATTCTTTTAAGAGATGGATGATATTCTTATGTAATGACTATGCACAATTAACAACTGCCTGGCATTTAGTATTTGCATTCCTTGCGCATACGTTTACAATTAACAACAGTATCATAATGAAGTCTCAACATAATATTAACAGTTAATATATCAGTGATGTTCTGAAAGCCGCATATTTTTCTTATACATTGAGCAAATTAAAATTAATTCCTGGATTGAATGAGACAACTCATTTGTCATACGCTCTTTTTAATTTCCGAGATATTAATTTTAACAATATAATTTTTTATATATTTTTATTAAAACTCATCTTAAACTAAAAGACAAGCAAAAATCAAGAGTCCTTTTTTATTTCTAAACTTTTTACTTTTTCTTTGCTATCTCTAAAATTATGCGGCTTATAGAACATATAAACTCTGCATAATTATAAACATATAAACATTGCATAATTTGTCATGTTGTTTAATCGCTAAACGCCAAGCTCCATTGATAATGAGTAAAATAAAATCACAGCTTTTTTTCTTTACATATAGCGAAAGATCTTCCTAAATAATTGATAAAATATACACATATTTTAATTATCGTAATCCATAACATAATTTTCTGGTTCTCTTTGTTGAAATCATGATACAAACCAAGTATCGACTAATCGAGTGCAATATAAGTATATGATTTCGGAAAATGATATATAATAAAAGTTTTTGAACATTATACAATTGTGTGCGTAGAAAATATATCGAGTTTAACTTTAAAACGTTGATATAAAATGTTAACTTTGTATTTCAATATCAGAAAATTACCTATTGTGCAGAAACAATTCATATATTAATAATTGATAAAAATATAATAAAATGGCACGCACTTGGAAATATTATCGTAATTTTAAGTGTATTATCATAAATTGTTTAAGCATTTTAAAGATTAAAATTGTGATTTTTTATTATGCTTTAACTTTAAGATGAGAAAAAATATGGAAAATTACGTAAAAATAAAAACTGGATAAATTGAGAAAAATTAAACGATTCTTTTAACGATTCTTATATACAACATTCGTTCCAATTAAAATAGCAAAATTAACGTTTTTTTTCCACATCTCTTATCCAATAATCTCCTTAAAGTTAACAAATCCGGTTTTTTAGTACTTTATTTTAAAACCACATATATGTTCCAGGATAAGTCAAAAAATGAATAATGACAAATATAAAAACTGTATCTGATAACAGATGTAAGAGATGTACGCTAAGAATATCTATTTCACGTTTTTGTATAATAATTTTGTAACTCTTTTGCTAAAGATTGTACAATATATGATGTTATATATGACTAACTAATTTAATATATGAACGCTCGTAAATGTACATCTACGATCTATGGTTCGATATGTACATAACGACGTAACATCTTTCTACATAAATAAAATGGAAACTATTAGAACAGCCTAACATACGCTCTAGTCCTCTGATAGATATTCTACATTAACTTATTCTTGCTTTTGTCTAAGAGTAAATTTGACCAAATATACGTTGTTTCATTAAGGAATAATTGCTTTTTATCGCATACTAGCGAGATATCAGTGAGGAAAACTGTGAGACAGAAATCTGATAAAATCGGATTATTGAAGTATATGAAGAAATATGGTAAATTTGTAATATAAAGAATATATACCGAACAGAATTGTCACAATAATAAAATGAAAATTATATCTTAGGCATAATTTTAAACAAGGCTGTTTAAAAAAGTTTATGGACTTATTTTATTTCAGACGAATCTAAAACATAATTATTTATGCTCTTCTCTCTCTCTCTCTCTTTCTGTATGCGTATATATATTTTTCTTCAAAATAATCCTTTTATGCAATTACATACTTCCGCCATGAGTAATTGCCCCAAGCTGTTAAAAGCATTATTCAGAACCACTTCACCAATCTCTTCAAATTTTTGCAGCAAAACAAGATAAAGATATATAAAATTTCTTTATGCGAGAATTTTTATAAGTTATAATACAGCCAATTTCAAAAATTTTTAAAAGCTATCCCATACATAATTTCATATAACACATGTTGGTGTAGCAAATATAAACTTGAGAAACATAGAACGTTATAACAACATTTGTAGCATCTCAAATATTCATTATAAATACAATCTTAATTTAATTTTTATATTTAATAATCTATTTATTATTAATGATCATAGTAAACATTAAATATATAAGATCACATATGTTACAAGAGAGAATAATTTTATATTAAATATATTATTTTTGGTAATATTTTTTAAAGAGATGCAATAATATAAAAGTAAAATAATTGTTGTAGTTTTCAACATTACTGTTAAAGAATCATTATCTGACATAACATTGCATAAAAATTAAGTAAAACATAGCACAAAGAATAATTAATAAAATCTAATCATAGAATTCAATATCGAAATACTTATCATAATGTTACTAATGCGCAATACGAGTTTTATTAAAGATCTAGGCCGGTATTCATAGTCCGTTCTTATATTTAAGATCGTCTTATATTTAAGATCCCATTCAACCAATGAAATGGCCGCATAGCATCTTAAAACCGTACTTAAGATGATCTTAAATATAAGAACGGACTATGAATACCGGCCTAGATCTTTAATAAAACTCGTATTGCGCATTAGTAACATTATGATAAGTATTTCGATATTGAATTCTATGATTAGATTTTATTAATTATTCTTTGTGCTATGTTTTACTTAATTTTTATGCAATGTTATGTCAGATAATGATTCTTTAACAGTATATATATATATATATACCGCTCCCATAAAACATTGTAAAACAACAAGTATTCTACACAGCAAATCTGTAGTTTTGCATCTTCTTATTCACCTTCATTTTTGTTCTTATAAACAAAAAATATGACAATATACAAGATGGAGGGGAAAAAAAAACAAAAAAACAAAAAAAGCAAAAAAAAAACAAAACTAAGATCGTCTTATATTTAAGATCCCATTCAACCAATGAAATGGCCGCATAGCATCTTAAAACCGTACTTAAGATGATCTTAAATATAAGAACGGACTATGAATACCGGCCCTGGAGTGGAAGTATGTCGAAGCTTTTATGGAGTGGATCTATATTATTTGCACAATCAAAACCAGGTAAGATAATTTATTTCTAACAAAAACATAATGATCACATTTGAAACGACCTGAACATGCAAAACGTGAAATAGAGAATAGCACCGAAAGCAAAACTCGTCAGAGAGACCTAAAATTTACAGTGACTATTATAGCATCACACATTCTGAATTCAGATTCTGGAGTTCGGTTTTTAAGGCAAAAGATAATCTTATTTCGAATAAATCTGATAACACAATACAAGCCCTTGTTCTGCATTCATATGCATCCACGATGTCGCAATATAAGCTCTTTTTCCGCATTCATATGCATCCATGATTTCGCGAGAAGCGAAGTCTCAGCTTCCTAATGTCTATGTGACATTATTAAACAACATCCGCTTTCCCTAATTTCACCTCTCTCTTTTCCTGCAAGATACACCGGGTCCATCTCCGGGTACGTACATGCTACCTGAAAGGAGGAAGGACTACTTTTTGCTATACTGTTAGAGCACAGTGCAATCAATGCGCTGGTACCTTTTTGAGTACCCCAGGAGCAACGATTATGACATCGAGCATGTTTCCAACGTTGAGCTGCTCTCTTTTGTTGCGTCTAGATGTACGATTACATATCAGGATGGTATCCCGAGAGTACGCGCAATATTCGCCTGCTGTAGAAAAGAAAACAATTGGTGGGTGGCCCTTTACTCAGGGGCCGTAAGCAAATCCTAGGCCAACTGTCTTTTCGCCTTAGCCTCGCTGTAAAATTCCGATGCCGCATCGGTGCTGGACGTCGCCACTGTAACGGGTCGGAAGTGTTGTGTCAGCACATATACCACCGCCTCGTACGTTGCCATTATGATAGCGGTGTTCGGAATCTGCCGGATCAACTGGGTACCGAGGCCGCGATAGAGACCTTTTGTGCCCTCCTCCGTCCATACGGTGCTCAAAGTTTGCCAAAAAGCGCGATATTTGGTACCTTCTTCTCGTAATCGGGTCCTTGCGACCTCTGAAAAAAATAAGAGATTATATCCATCTTTGATTGTACGTATCCTATATCTAATCTTTAAAATTATTATCGAAAATTTAATTTGGGAAATTATCGATAAAGATCTATAATTTGTGAAAAATTAGTTACTTAAAATTATTATTTAATAATTAATCGTGTTAATCACTGACCCAAATTAAAATTTTATCGTTAGATCAGAATAACTTTCATATAAAATATTCCTTCAATATATATTTTTCAGATTAAAATTTAAATAATTTATATACAGTCGTATATAAGTGTAACGGAACGAGATTCTTATATAAGAGTTTTCTGTGACAACAATATGGTTTCATTGTTATCTAAATAAATACAAATAACGCAATAAGAGTGCATTCAAAACGTATAATGATAAAATTGGTTTCCTATTGTGGTAACGATCAAGAAATAGCTCGCAAATATGATGATATAACCTGCTCTGAATAGAAGTGCTTCCTTCTCGTTTAATTCACCAATGTTTTGCAGGAAAACGTGCGTAATTTGTGCATGATAATACTGATTTGCAAAATGATTTCAAAACGCGAATGCAGCATGATAGATGTGTGCATTATTTTATGCAAACAAAATATAGAAATGTCACAAATATTCGTAAATAGTATGCAAAGCATAAATGCATATCGAATGCTTGGCACGCGTTATGTGTGCAGATAGAGCTCGCATTATCTTTAGACCAATTCAGACTATTTTCTCTGCAAGACAATGATAGAGAAAGAAAGATATATACTATTCTTCAATGAAATCCAAACAATGAAGCTATAATTTGCGATTTATCTGCATTATTAGACACAGGCGAAATCAACGCGACTGTAATAAAAAATAAGATATCACTTGTGATAGCAATTCTAAAAGAGATGATAATGGTCTCTAAATAAATTCTAAATAAAAAATCTAGATAAGCACAAAGATCATTTATAATTTCAAATAATCAATGGATAGGATTCTCTTTATTTATAAAAATTATAAAAAATTGTTAAGTATTGATTGAAATTTGCTTGTATTAAACTGTTTAAATAATGATATCAACATCAGATAAGTAAAGTGGTGGTGGTGGGTGGGTGGGTGTAACTAACAATAAGACTAGTAAATACACAAGAAAAGTTAAAAAACAAATTTAATTAATACGATCTATGTGGATCCATGTGGATTTGTATGCCGTAGTTACGAATAATACTTTTACCGTGAGGATAGGCAACGGTCGACGCTATCGTTTTCGAAAAAGATCCCGCTGCCATAAATTCGATGAAGTCGCGGAACGTCTTCCTGTCATCTGCCTGCGAAGCTCGTGATCTGTGCGTGGCTAGCCATGCTTTTACCGCTTCGTATATCACAAAGTGTATCACAGTCTCACTTATGCCTATGTAGGACGCCACGATGCCTTTATAGAATCCCAAGATACCCTAAGAAACATACCCATTCATACAATAGAAATATTTATATAAATCTAAAGCCATCATATTATAAATCTAATTTATTTCGAAATTAAATTAGTATGCGACATTTGTTATCAAATAAATATTTCCTAGATTCTCAAATTCGTGCAATAACAGCAAATTAATAACTTTGAAATCATATAGCTTGTTTTAATTCTATGAGACTGAAACAAATAAAAAAGAAATTAGTTTAAATATTAAATAATTAAACTACTAAGTTGTTAAAATTCAGATTTTTTAAAAATAGCTTGTAGTATAGATACAGCATATAATTAACTCAGTAATTAATTCATATTAATATTTCATAAGAATTATGTATATATTATGTAAATAAAACAATCATACAAAGATAACTGTGCATTACTATATAATTAACGAGAAATTAATTAAAATAAATATCGAAAAATCATTATAAGATTCACGATTTTCGTACGTATCTTTGAGCAATAGAGTAACACCGATACGATCAAAAATGATATATCTTATCAGGAATATATTAAAACTTGAACCTAGAGATCTCTCCAAAAAGAGGAACATGTGACATTTGCGTGCACAATTAAGGATAGCATTGAATCGAGCATTCACATATGTGATAAGAAAGTTAAAAATATTTGTAATGCTACCCATATTTCGCTGATAAGATCGATGTTGATATTGAATATCATGAGTACATAAAATAATATTTCGGTAATGATACAGAAGTCTATTGATAACCAATAAACTAATATATACAGAATAAACTAATTATTATCTTATCAATCCTCAAATTTAGAATAAAAAATTGTAAATATGCAAATTACTTATTGTGCATCACTATGTTTTAAATTAATATATATACTTATATTTATATTAATATATATATATATTTTTTTTTCAAACGTTAATTTTTAATTTTTTTATGGTGCATTTTTTGCACTTTTGCGCGCGCTTGGATTAATACTTCCACTTTAATTTTACACGTAAATTCGATGCAATAATGTACTGAGATGATGAAATAGAGTAAGAAATGTAGAGATCTTCTAGTGACTACGCGAACGTTACTCTTAACATATTTTTTAAGATATTTTTACATACATGTATACTATTCGTAGATCATGGCGCCAGTTTTAAAACTGGCTCATACATATTCTTATACATGGAATATTTAACTAATCATTATATTTACACATCATAAAAAATGACTCTTGGGGTATCTCTTGGGGCTACTTGTGAAAGAGCGATGTTAATTTCTTTCATATACATAAAGACTATTGTGACTTGTATTTGAATCTTTTATACATTGTATAAAAGATTTGTTGTTTTCATTAACCCGATTTTGTAAAAGATCGTCAGGGCATTTCTTGTATTACACGTGTATCATTGAAGAGACGTGTGGAATGTACAAGACTCATGTGAGTTGCGCAATCGAGAATATTATACGTCGTATAACGCACACTTTAATACGCGCTTGATCGAAAGAAACTATATAAAAGAATATATATATATATATATACACACACACACATATATATATCGCGTCTTTACTTAAATAATTAATCATATAATAAAAAAGAATCAATTTAAGATTGCCAGAAATATATGATTATTATCCACATAAACTTTAATTTTTTTCCTTCAATATAGTAAATGTTTGTTGATATCAATATCCCATCAGTATAAGAAAATTCAAGTGCATCGAGTGTAAATGTGTATGGCATAAACAATTGTTATAAATGCGAAACTACTAATATTTAAAGAAAAAATAAATTGTAATTGCATATATATATGTATATATGAATAATCCTCTCTCGCGATTACTAGATTTTATTTTAAAATAATATATTCGTGTTATTTTGTAAATATTCAAGAAGGTTAATGTATTAGAACATGATTCAATGCCTGATAAACAGAGTTAGTAGGTTCTTAAAGTTTAGGATCTATTAAAATTTTTGGAATTTATGATATTAAGTTTCTACCGGTTTGTCCACTATCTAAATAAAAAAAAAAAAAGATCCGCGAAATTTTAGAACGAGGCTGTACAAGAACATGCGATGTCGTCGTGTCGAATGCAACGTATCGGGCTTCAAGCGACGTTATTTACAAGCGTAATCAAATCATTCGATGCAAAAACAACGCGTCAAAGAAACATGCACGAGAGAGCCAGACTGCATTATTGATATACCATACATTATCATTAATCATGATGCAATTCCGGTCGCGGCCGGGGCGACGTACAATTTCTTCGACGATAGAGATATTGTCGCTTTACGTTTTACGTTCGTACGACCGCAAAGCGTGTGGAAGGCCGGGCATTGAATTACGTGAAGAGGATGGCTAAAAATAGCAGTATACTGTCGGAGAGGCACTCTCTTGCTCGCCGGCGAAACGGCGTGGCACGACAGACGGAGAGAGGGGGAGAAAGGAAGGAAAGGGGGAGAAAGGAAGGAAAGGGAAAGACGGAGAAGAAAAAAAGAAGGGTAGAGAAAGAAGGGAGATCGTCGAATAAACACATCTGGGCGCGACTTCCTACATCCAAAAACAATTCAAGGTTGACTGTAGAAATTAAGTAAATTGATATTTAAGATCCATTCTCGTCTTAAATATACGAAGTCATATCTATAATGAACCTCATAAATTATGTCATTTTTTTATACCTAATTTTTTCCTTTGCAGACATATACAGTTTTTATGTTGCACATACATATGTGTCTTATATATATTTATTTGACACATTAAGGGGGATATATTATTAACATATAATTAAAGAGAGACAGTTTTAAATAAAAACAATTATTTTATTTTAATTAATTTCTTTAAAAAAAATCTAATAATTTTTAATTTTTAATCTGTCAAAATAATATATAATAATATATACCCTCCCCCTTAATAGCATAAATTTTAATATTTAATGTGTAAGATTTTGTTTTACAAGTTAACTTTAAATAAAAAAAAATATATATATTTTTTTTTTATTTAGTACTGATCTTGTAAAAAAAACAACATATTATTATATACGATCTGCTTTGAATAAATTGCGAGCCAAATGTAATCGTTTAAGGCAGTCTTTATCGTTTATTTATGCTGATTTCTGGTTAAGTGATGTATCATAATGGTATAGGAATTCGAATTATAATCGCTGATTGTAGAACGCTGAACGGGGAATCCGTGAATGATGATAAAAGTCAGCAGATCGAATAACATCTTGGCGCCGATAAACACGCTTTCCGTTAAAGAAGTACAACACAAATATGTCATTCTATTTTATCGTTATTTTATGCCTTAAATTGAAAGAAAAATCGCAGAGAAGAATAAAAAATGAAAAAATGTGAGACTTTCACTGCATATTCTTTAAATGCGTTTATCAAATTTTATTTAAGAAACAAATTAATTAAATGATTTGAAAAAATAATATAAGCGAGAAGTTAAATATTGACACATAAAATAGAGGTATCTATTTGAAGAAATTATAAAATTCCACTATTGAGTTAATGATACGTAGTATCTTTTTATAATAATCAATTTGATTATATATTGCATATATTAAATATAAATAAAGATTTTTAATATTATTAATTAGAACGATGTTCAATATTAAACGTGGATAAAAATTACAGATTAAATGTTTGTCCACTATTCTAAAAAAAAAAAAAAAAAGATCCGCGAAATTTTAGAACGAGGCTGTACAAGAACATGCGATGTCGTCGTGTCGAATGCAACGTATCGGGCTTCAAGCGACGTTATTTACAAGCGTAATCAAATCATTCGATGCAAAAACAACGCGTCAAAGAAACATGCACGAGAGAGCCAGACTGCATTATTGATATACCATACATTATCATTAATCATGATGCAATTCCGGTCGCGGCCGGGGCGACGTACAATTTCTTCGACGATAGAGATATTGTCGCTTTACGTTTTACGTTCGTACGACCGCAAAGCGTGTGGAAGGCCGGGCATTGAATTACGTGAAGAGGATGGCTAAAAATAGCAGTATACTGTCGGAGAGGCACTCTCTTGCTCGCCGGCGAAACGGCGTGGCGCGACAGACGGAGAGAGGGGGAGAAAGGAAGGAAAGGGGGAGAAAGGAAGGAAAGGGAAAGACGGAGAAGAAAAAAAGAAGGGTAGAGAAAGAAGGGAGATCGTCGAATAAACACATCTGGGCGCGACTTCCTACATCCAAAAACAATTCAAGGTTGACTGTAGAAATTAAGTAAATTGATATTTAAGATCCATTCTCGTCTTAAATATACGAAGTCATATCTATAATGAACCTCATAAATTATGTCATTTTTTTATACCTAATTTTTTCCTTTGCAGACATATACAGTTTTTATGTTGCACATACATATGTGTCTTATATATATTTATTTGACACATTAAGGGGGATATATTATTAACATATAATTAAAGAGAGACAGTTTTAAATAAAAACAATTATTTTATTTTAATTAATTTCTTTAAAAAAAATCTAATAATTTTTAATTTTTAATCTGTCAAAATAATATATAATAATATATACCCTCCCCCTTAATAGCATAAATTTTAATATTTAATGTGTAAGATTTTGTTTTACAAGTTAACTTTAAATAAAAAAAAATATATATATTTTTTTTTTATTTAGTACTGATCTTGTAAAAAAAAAACAACATATTATTATATACGATCTGCTTTGAATAAATTGCGAGCCAAATGTAATCGTTTAAGGCAGTCTTTATCGTTTATTTATGCTGATTTCTGGTTAAGTGATGTATCATAATGGTATAGGAATTCGAATTATAATCGCTGATTGTAGAACGCTGAACGGGGAATCCGTGAATGATGATAAAAGTCAGCAGATCGAATAACATCTTGGCGCCGATAAACACGCTTTCCGTTAAAGAAGTACAACACAAATATGTCATTCTATTTTATCGTTATTTTATGCCTTAAATTGAAAGAAAAATCGCAGAGAAGAATAAAAAATGAAAAAATGTGAGACTTTCACTGCA